TAGAAAACAAGAAATCCAACCATTTCCTGCTTCCTAGCTAATCTAAACCTCACAGCAGAACAGATGATGGTTGGAAAAAGGAAAAATAGCAATTTAGCAGGCAAGTTTACCGGGTAAGGAGTGAGTGGGCGGGGAGGGTTCCCGTGGGCCATGTGGGCGGCTCAGCCTTGTGTTTCTGCGCAGCCTGGATTAATTGCTTTGTGGGGGTGCTCTGGGGGTGAGATTTCTCTGTAGCCCACCAAAATTTTCTCACAGCCCACCGGTTGGCGACCGCTGAATTAGATTGTCTAGCTTTTCAGGCAGAATACATTATTTCCTAGTGGGTAAGATTTGCTGAATATCTTTGGTACTTTGTGCAACTAAAATTCCAAGTTTCCAAAAACTGGAAATAACATGGTAGCATTTAGCACACTAGGCTAAGCAACACAAATGTGCTACAGTCAAAAATGGAAACATGTAAATAATAAAAAAAATGCCCTTGCTTTGATCCTTCTCCCAAGGAAGAGGCTACCTTCTGCATGTACCCATAATTTACATAATTGGTTTATTCAGTGCTACCTTTTGAATGTATACAACATACTAAACCATAAAAATCAAGACTTAAGTTTGTCTTGGTAGGTAAAAAGGGCTAGGTCCGTGACCTATGGCACATATGCCGGAAGTGGCATGCAGAGCCATCTCTGCGGGAATGCCAGCCATTGTCTGTTGGTCTTCATGCACACGGGAGTGCTGGAAACCGGAAGAGCAGCTCCCCGGCGTGCATGCACACACCAGCCAGCTGGTCTTCACACACGCATGCGTGTTCGAAACTGGAAGACCAGGTGGGCAGCACATGTGTGCGCTGGGAAGATGAGCTTCCGTTTTCCGGGCTGGCACACCAGGAAGCTGCTCTTCCACTAGGCTTGGTTGTGGTTCAAACATGTTATATAAACCCTGTGCTATGAATATTTTCCTAATAGGCATACACTGGCAGAATGAATGCAGGAGTTAATCCTGATACAGCCTTATATTAATACTAGTGCATTTTAGTCTCTACATAAAGAGATACATTAGATTTATCTCCTCTTTGCTCTGTGCCAGCTAGTCCTTTGATCTCTGCAAGGAATTAAATTTTTCTACATTTAAAATGTGCCTCAAACTTCAATTTACAAAGGAGAATAATGCATTCTGTTCTAACACAGTTAATTTTTTTTAAATAACAAACTAAGACTTGACTGTAAGTAATTCATACATTAATGTCTACTTCCTTGGATTCTTCCATCTTACAGAAAATAAGATACTTCAATTTAAAAGAAATGCAGCGATGGGAAATAAATGTTCCCTGACCATTACCCAGAAATTAAATTGTTTAACATGTCACATAGTCTATGTTGACTGGGTCAGTGGGAGGCTGGGAGGGCTCACAGAACATGGATTGATTTGCTGTCAAACATGAATTTCTGATACCAAATTAACAATTGCCAGAAATGGAACAGGCTTCTGTACTTCAGATTTGGTCCTTGAAGAATTTGTGGGTAAACAGAGCTTAATTCTAGTGTTAAACACAAATTCCTGTCTTAATATGTGTGCCTTTTAACCCTGAAGACTGCGTTCACATAGTGTGCTGAGCCATAACAGGATTTGTCTTATTTGAGAGTTGCATATTGTGTGGGTCCAACCTAATATAAGGAGGTAGGACGTAAAGAGAAAGAAGAAAAACTCAGATGCAAAGTAGGAGATATTGGAAGCAAACCTGGGGTAAGTCACAAAGAACTTAAATGCCTATACACTAACAAAGTTTTGGGAACAAACAGGGTGAACTTGAAATACTAGTACACGAGGGCAAGTATGATACAGTTGCCATTACAGAAACTTGGGATGAAATTTATGACTGGAATGTATTGATGGAAGAATACAATCTGTTCAAAAGAAACATCTAACGAAAGAGGTGGAGTTGCGTTATATGTTACAGAACACTTCCTCTCTACAGAGATGCACACAACAAAGGACGAAAGCCTTCTAGAATGCATATGGGTCAACATAAAAGGAAAAAAGAATTACATAGCCATAGGTGTATACTACAGGCCATCCAACCAAGCAGAAGAAATAGATGAATGTTTTGCTAATCAGTAAACCAACGCATGTAGGAAACACACCACTGTAGTAATGGGGAAATTTAACTACTTATGACATCAACTAGGAGACAAACTGCACCGAGTGGAAGATCAAACAGGTTCCTGACAAACCTAGCAGACAACTTCATCACCCAAAAGGTAGAGGAGGCAACTAGAGGGACAGCTATACTGGATCATATTATTACCAACAGAGAAGTGATAGAGGGAGTTGAAGTTGCAGGAACTTTAGGGAAGAGTAACTGTGTCATATTAGAATTCAATATAAAACAGACAGAAGCAACAGAACATAAACTAGTGTCTTAGACTTTAGAAGAGCTGATTTCAACAGCTTGGGAGGGATTCAATGGATTAAATTATTAAAGGGGGACATCAACTCAAGAAGCATGGGAAACTGAAAAATATGATTATAAAAGCACAGTCCAACTCAATATTACTGAAAAAGAAAAAACCAAGAAAAAAAACAGCATGATTGCGCAAAGAACTCTCAGACCAACTGAGGCAAAAAATGGAAAGAGGGGCACATAACTAAGGCAAGAAAACCAACAAATAGCTCAAACCTGCAAAGAAAAAACCTAAGGAAAGCTAAGGCTTTGAACAAAGCAAGACTTGCAACAAATGTCAAAAACAATAAAAAAAAGTTTCTTCCAACACATAACAAGAAAAAAGTCAAAGAAACAATCAGTCCACTAATGGGAGAAGATGGCAAAGAAGTAACAGGTAATAGAGAGAAAGCAGATGTCAACTCGTGAAACATTCCCTGACCTCTCGAGTTGCCATAGGCAAGGGGGGTGGGGAATCGAACCTTGCAGCTGCATCAAGGAACTTGCATTTCAGTCAAAACAAAGCACCTTCCAGACGTTTACATCAAGGACATCTCCACGGAAACCCACAGTGGCCGGAGGGAGTGACTTCTACAACCCGCGAAATTGCTTCATTGGAGAACGTGAGCCGTCTACCAGGATATTTTGGAGCACTTCATGCTTCCTTCCCACAGATGAGCTTTATGGGGATGCTGACTTCATTTTCCAGCAGGACTTGGCACCTGCCCACACTGCCAAAAGCACAAAAACCTGGTTCATTGACCGTGGGATTACTGTGCTTGATTGGCCAGCAAACTCGCCTGACCTGAACCCCATAGAGAATCTATGGGGCATTGCCAAGAGAAAGATGAGAGACATGAGACCGAACAGTGCAGAAGAGCTGAAGGCCGCTATTGAAGCATCCTGGTCTTCCATAACACCTCAGCAGTGCCACAGGCTGATAGCTTCCATGCCACGCCGCATTGAGGCAGTAATTTCTGCAAAAGGGGCCCAAACCAAGTACTGAGTACATATGCATGCTTATACTTTTCAGAGGTGTGATATTGTTCTATGTACAATCCTTGTTTTATTAATTGCATGTAATATTCTAATTTTCTGAGATTGTGGATTTGGGGTTTTCATGAGCTATAAGCCATAATCATTGCAATTATGACAAATCACGGCTTGAACTATCTTGCTTTGCATGTAATGAGTCTATCTCATATATTAGTTTCATCTTTTAAGTTGCATTACTGAAATAAATGAACTTTTGCACAATATTCTAATTTTTTGAGTTTCACCTGTAGTATAGAGATACCTATGACAGTTAATTTCCTTTTTCCCTTTTGTTATTAGTATAGTGCTAGCTGCATTTTATTTCTATTTACATTTATATACATTTATATACAATTATATACATATTTACAACCATCTTTTATACTCATGCATTCATATCATCTCATATTTGTCCATTATATTCCATTCTCTTTGGTTTACAAAACTTTAACTTTCATTCCTATAAAATGTCAACCCTTTATTTCTTTTTCCTTGACTCTAGCCATTGATACATTTTACTCCAGACTTCATAATACTCTGTCTCACCCTTATCTTTGATTTCTAAAGTTAGTCTGTCCATCTCTGCACAGACTAATATTTTCCTTATTATTTCACTTTTTGTAGGGGTATCTTCATTCTTCCAGTTTTGGACATACACCAATCTTACAGCTGTTATTATATGTATCATTAAATATATTGTTCCTTTACTGTAGTTCTCATTAATAATTCCCAGTAAGAACGTTTCTGGTCTGAACTCTACTTTCTGGTTAACCATCTCTTCTATCCAAACCTTTATTATCTTCGTATAAAGAGAACCAGTATATTTTTGCTTTTATACATTTCCACCACATAT